AATGTCACAATGGTGATTCGTTAAAGGCACGTTCAAATAGCAGACAAAAGGAAAGCGTCTACAGACAGTTAACAATTAAAGGATGATTCGTTTAGCTCCAGTTATTTTGCGAGATGAGTTGACCATTGCTGGACCATAAAAACATTAGACTCAGCTCCAAGAGAGAATAAACGACCCAACAGGAAGACTTTCAGACTAGTGGTAGAGTCAAATGAATAGGTTTGTTGGATCAAGACGGATAACAATCGTAGAAAGCCGAAATTTCTTGAAAAGTCTTGAGAAATGTCTTAATGTAGCAGTGGATCGAAAACGGCTGATGATGATGTTCAGCTCCGCAGTATTCTGAGGTCTGAGGTGATGAGGGTATGCTTATTGATTTCCCGTATCGTGTTTGGTTAAACTAGCCTCTTAAATAGCCAGCCTCAATTTGTAAGGTGGCGCCTGTAGTATTCAGAATATTCGGTATTCAGAAAATATGTAATGCAGTAACATGGTATTAATAAACGTATCAATGCAATATATAGTAAAGCATATTAAATATTAATCAATACAGTAAGTAATCCATTCAAATGGCCATATGTGAAATCAATGAACACGAACCTGGATTACCTGAAGCTCGAAGAAATGATATTTAAAAAATACGAAAAAGCTGCTGTCTTGTATACAACCAGAACAGTGCGAAAATTCTTGAATATAACAAATTTGCAGCAGGGCCACAATTAGTTGGTTATGCTTAGCCATTGGCTGCTGGCTAAATGTCCTCTGTAACACAGGATATGAAATGAAAAAAAATCTAAATCGCACATAAACCAATAATATCATACTTTCAAAACTGAATATAAAAAACATGTCAGAAGGCAGCAACCTACTCTATGTAAAGTGTTTCTCTCACAGGCAGGATTGCTTGACGAGAGGATTATGCAGGATTTATTTATCTCAGTAATCCCTCGTTAACAGGAGACCGTTCATGACGATTTTAAAACTAATGTCGTCATCAGAAGGTAAGGATTGTCTCCTCCCATTTAGTGTTCGGTTAGCAGCAAAATTCTGGTATACATTTAAATGGGTTGTCGCTATAGCATGTTTTTCTTCAGATGATTGGAGATTCCGCGACCTCTCGGTGGTGATGCATAACGCTTTGTCCACTTCCATAGTGCAAACGATGTTCAAACATGCAAGAAGCCAACATTACAACGGATGTGACACCGGGCATATTTGCATACACAATTTCTGTTGTAATGTTAGTCATTGAAGGTGTAATTCGGTCCAACTTGACATGGTGGTTCCTACTACATAGTAGTAGTGTATATAATGCTACTTAAAGTACTCTGCCAAAAACGTAGTGGATTAGCACTGTTTGGAAATTAGAACGGTCGTCTTAAAACTGTCGGCAAAAAGGTATGCGGTCATGATATTCTGCTCCTAGATAAATCTGCCTTAAATGGACAAGATCTAATCGGTCCCCGGCTACCACTTTCTCCATAGCCATATTTAATCATACAAGACCATGACAGGCTCATACA